ACTGAGGAATTTTTTTAAATAGCTCTTTCAGAATGAGTGATAGGTTAGGTCAGTGCTTCTCAAGCCTGAATGTGCAAACAAATCACTCAGGGATCTTGTTTGGTTCCTATGCAGCGGGCCTACGGCAGGGCCTGAGGCTCTGCTTTCTAACAAGCTCCCTGGTGATGCTGATGGTGCCTCTAAAAGTCTTTCTAAAATAATTTCATACCCATTCTTATCCCTGCATAAGCCAGACTAACCTTCCTTGATGTTTTGGGATTTACAAAACCTTAGGTCCATCATCTGTTCTCATTGTACATTAAGAATGATGTTTAAGTTGGTGGGAGATTGACCTTTATGTATCCTCTACATTGGAAATTGCAGTTTGGACTAGATAACTTTTGTCATTGGATCCTTTCTCATATTAGGGGGAAAAAAATATAATGACTAGTCGTGCTCCAGTCAGCTAAGATTTTAAACTGTTAGGGCCCGTTAGAACTTTAAACTCCCTTTAGCTGAAATTTGTTAGAGCTTGAGATGCAGGGCTTCAGTTTTGGTGGAACTGATCATTCCCACCAATCCTGGGAAGATTCTGTTTGTTCCAGAGGCAGGAGCTCCTTGGTACGTGGATGACGCAGCCTCCTGGTTGGCTCACCCCATTAACGAGGCTGTCTTTACAGAGAAAGCCACGTCAACATCCAGGGCACAAAGGATTGCTACTTTTAAAGCATTTCCCAAGCTGGTATTCTAAGAACACTGCCTCTGCTGTGAAGAAAGTATTCATTGGTGGAAATTTATAATCCTTCTTTACTACAGCTCTTCCCAGATGCACCATCCTGTCGTACATCATGACTCTCCTGAGGGGCTGGGCGGGCTAGCGTGAGCTGTGTTCCTCATACGGAATCAACCACAGAGCCCCTCCCGTGGTTCTCACGGTTTGTGGGTGAGGCACATGATTGTGGGAGAGTTCGCTCGTGGGTGGCAGAGACCCTGCCTTATCATGGGGGGTATGATGTTCTGGTTGTGTCAGCTTGCAGTAAACATGCTTGTGTGCGTGCAAGTTGACAGGGTGGCCGTGTGAAGAAAAGAAAACATTTGGTAGCATTGTAAACCAGTCCATAACACCTTTCTTTCTCCAGTTCCTAATTGTTGGTTGGTTTCACAGAAACAGAGTAGCTGATGGAACCCCGCGTAGCAATGGTGGGTCCCTGCCCAGGCAGCAAGGGAGCTGTGGGGCAGAGCAAGGGCCCAGGGAGCCCGTTTCCTGACCTTGAGAGCTCATAAGCAGGGATTATACGCCTCCTTGGAGAACATTTTAAATTTAAACAAAATTTGATAAAGTCATGGGCACCCCTGCCCATGTATTTTTTTCAGCCCTAAGTGGCTTTAATCCATTTCAGTGCCGGCTCTACAGATTAGTGTTATAAATGGTGTGCAGCTCAGTGACCAAAACCTTCCTCAGCGTGTCCTTCTCAGAAGTAGAAGTAATTATTTTAACAAACCCAGTCTCCATAGCCATTCTGGATAAACTGGATGTCGATTTCCAGGAGGAGAGGCAAAGTCCTATTTACTCCTTAGAGCAGTTTTAACCTCCTTTGTAATTCCCAGTCCTTCAACTCCCAAACCTTTCAGTCCATAAATAGATTGCATTTTAAGGATGACCTTAAATGTGTAATACTTCTAAAAAATTTCTAAAAATGAAGTCCTGAACGTGTTGAAAATAACCAAAGTGAATTTGTTCTATTAAACATTTTAAACACATGTGCATATATGTACATGCATACACACACAGACGTATCATTTTAACTGGTACAGTTGTTTCTGTGAATATTTTAAATCGAATCATCTAAATTCTTTTCGCTGTGAAGTTCTTGCTAGTATTGATGCTATGAAAGGATGCGTTCAGCATTATTGTTTGCTGGAGAATATGATTCTCTGAGTACCGTGTCCTTCCTGTAGGCCATGCTTCAGTTTTCTCTTCTATGAAATAGAAATATTACTTGCCTCATAGGATTATTTCAAAGTTGCGTTAATATATGTAGCTTACTAGGAACAGTGCCGTGCATGGCAAATACTCTGTGTATCTTCGCTATTATTGTTGTTTCTGGAGTGAATTGCACTCATGAATCGTGAACATGAAGACAGCCAATGCTAAAGTTATGGGGAAAAGAACTCCCTATACTTTTATTATACTAAAAGTAGTCTTTGAAAATTAAAATGTCAAAATTATCTGATTTTTTAAATGTGTGTATTGGCATTAGACTTGAAAGGTGCTTTCTTTCTTTGAGGCGCGTAGATTAAGTATCTATATCTGTGATGCGATTTTAGAATGATAGCTCTTTCTTTTCAGTGCCTTCAAGTTGAAAAGGAACAGCCTATTTAGAAGCTCGGAAGTACTATCCTGCTAAAGCAACTGATAAATCAGGAGTTTATGTGTCACATTTCAGTCCAGTAGATAATGTTTGCAAAGCACGGGCTCTGTAGACCTTGACACTGAGACTAATGTGCACAGAACAGAGCTGTTTTGATGTTTGCACTTGGGTGGATCCAGTGAGCATGTAGTCTGTCACATGGTTGGTAGAGTGACTCAGCTATATGCCAACAACTCAGAAAACTGTTCCCTGAGAAGCATACTGGATATGTGGTAACCTTGTGCTATGACTCTTTGGTGGAAAGAAGAGCACTGGCTTTGAGCTGGGAGAGCCTGGGTTCTGGACCAGCCATGCCACTCTCCTGCCTCCACAGATATGCTGTCCTTGCGGGCAAGGACCTCATTGGATAGGTCTGGGTGTCCCCCCCAGCACCCAGCCCAGGAGGAAGGCGGTATGTGTGTGGTAGGAAGGTGTGATGGGTAATCTTACGGACAAGTACTTGATCCCTGACGGTCTGTGACAGGAAAGATTCGGACTAGAATATGGTTTCCCACGGTGTCCCACACATACTACGGGTAGGGTAAGAGGGGGCTTTGGGTGTACACTGATAGATTTTGTAAACTTTATAGTTTATGTATATATATAAATTATATATATATTTTAATATCCACTTAATATCCATTTGGTGGATATCGAAAAACATAAGGGGCAGATCAAACTTGTGATTTTATTATTGTTATTACTCCATAGGTCACAGCTATTTTGAAACATATTTATTTATGGTAGAAACAACTATTAGCATAGTATGTGGATATAACAAAAATTGTTTAGGAAATAGGTGAGTAACCAGTGTCTGGAAATCATAGTCTGGAGGATCTCTAGACCCCTTTCCTGAAATTTTTCATTTCATTTTCTGAAATTGGCGATAATTTAATAGGACCCGACCCCCAGCTTATATTTTTGCTATGCAAAAATGGAGAAAAATGGGAGATTTTTTTCCATTTGGAACATGGAAATAATTCTTCTTAGGCCTTCTCCCCTTGCTGGAATATGGTGAGTTAATGAACTTCGGTTTCCTTGGGGCTAAGTGGTAACTTCAGGAAGTGCTGAAAGAAAGTAGGAATGTTTGTCAAGGTCACTATCCATTAAGAAACAAAAGCTCATGTTAGTATCATCATCCGCTCTTGTGTGTGTGCTTTTCTCTAATTTGTCCTATTCTCTTCTTCTAGGTTCCTGGTGCAGTTCAGACAGGATAAAGTATGTGTGAAGTTTATTCAGGGCAACCAGAAAAATGGGAGTGTCCCAACGTGCAAACGAAAAAACAACCGTCTCCTGGAAGTCGCTGTTCCTTAACTGGCTCCTCCTCTCTGCTTTCACGGACTTGTTTCCTTGTAACAGTGCAATTTTGTTTTGTTTTGTTTTGTTTTGTTTGGGATTCATTGTATGTTTGGGAATTGCCAAAGGCTAATACTGTTAGAGACCCTTGGCAAAATAAAAAAAAAATATTTGACTAATCAATTTTTATTATTGGAATAGTTTTAAACCTTAAATTACACAGTCTGTCCTGGGACAGGATTATAGAAGCTAACAGTGTCTCTGCCATGTCATACGTGTTCTTTGTTTAGCCATCATGTTAGATCTGTGTACCCGCGATCAGCATATTGCTCATAAATCATTACTATTTCTAAGTAGAGGAAATGGTCCCAAGCGGTAGTTGCATTCGTTCATCAAATATTTATTGAGTGCCTCCTCTTTGCTAGGCACGGTGCTGGATGGCGTGAAAACTGACTAGGAAGCCTTTTTGTTTTTCAGGCCGCGGCATCTGGCTGGCTTGTGCTGTCTTGACTAGGGCTAAGAGAGGTTGAAGACGTTGAAACCAAAACAGTACCTATTGCTGATGGACAGCATTATTCCGAATCCCGTAGTGTGATCTTAACCAGTCCACTTCAAGAAGGGCTTGGTCCTAGGAAGTAGAAATGTATGACCGGGTAAAATGCCCCTACATGTGGTTTCTATTTGAAAAGAGAAAACTGACATTGCAACAGGACTTTTAATTTGTTCGGCTCTTGTCGTTGCTTTTAACAGTAGAAAACAGAGTCATTCTTATTGTAGAAAAAGTGACAGAAGTAGTCCAATAAGATTATATTTTCCTGTTTCTGGTAAGCCTCGTATATGATCCTACATAGGCTAATATTTGCAGAGTGTTGTTTTCACCCAAATTTGAGTAAATATTTTAAACAGCTAATACAGTCAAGGGCTGAAAGCCTTTCAGATAATGGCAAGCATTCTGTATGATGTGAAATAAACATCCAAGATCTTTTTTGAAAGTTTTATTTATAATATACATTTTGTAGGAGAGGGTGATTGGTACAGGGTGCATATTTTAGTCAAGGATCAAAATTGTTTATGTTAATTTGCAGGACTTTTTTTTTTTTTTTTTTCCAAATTTACAATAAGGATTCATTTTTGGAAACTACATTTTAAACTTTGGAATCAAATTGTTTCTTATTTGGGAGGATAATGTATATACATTGGTATGTTAAATAATAAAACTGTTCTAATTTGGTGCCATTTCCTGGATCACAACTGTATTTTTGTATTTCAAGGTATGTTCTCATGTTGTGTGTCAATGTAATATTGCACCGAAAGGCTTTACCGTTCAAACATTATATGTTTTCTGTGTAATTGAATTTCACTGACCTTTTATAAACCAGAAACATTCATTGAAAGTATTTGGGGGGGGGGCACTTTCTTTTAATTTTTGAACTTGAAAAAAATCGCTCCCATAAAGAAATTCTCAGAAGCCTTTGTGTTTATTGGTGCAGGTAGAGGATAGCATTACTTTCTCTCAGTCTACCGCATCATATACCTAGAGCAGTAGATTGGTAGTTCCTGAAATAGGTGATTAGAAATCTGGAACTGAGGTGTTTTTAAAAAATGTTTAAAAAAATATGTAATACATTCACACTGTTCAACGTGCAAGTAAGGATAGATAGAAATACAATGCAAATTTTCCATCCCATCATTCCCTCATCTGCTCAGTTCCCATGCCCCCTCTCAAGTTAACCGTTGTTTTTACTTGCTTTTGCACAGCTTTATGCATATGTTTCCAAAACAAAATAAAAATATAGATTCTTATCTCCTGCTTTAGTAGACAAAAGCTAATACTTTATATAGACTTTGTTCTTTACTTTGTCTTTTTTGCTCTTTGTTCTTTTTTTTTTTTTAAAGATTTTATTTATTTATTTGAGAGAGAGAGAATGAGAGACAGAGAACATGAGAGGGAGGAGGGTCAGAGGGAGAAGCAGACTCCCCGCTGAGCAGGGAGCCCGATGCGGGACTCAATCCCGGAACTCCAGGATCATGACCTGAGCCGAAGGCAGTTGCCCAACCAACTGAGCCACCCAGGCGCCCATCTTTGTTCTTTTTTACTGTGGCACAGTCTTCTGTTGTATGGATAAGTTTATCCAGTCCCCTCCTGATCATCACTGGGTTGTTTCCCAAATGGAAATTTAAGTCCACGACAGAGAGGACCAATATTTCACGGGTCTATTTGTTAAATTTTCCTAAATACCGTCTCTGCAGATTGTTCATTATGATGATTAGCAACAATAGCAGTTAGCAACAATACACTTCCCAGAGTTTATTTCCAATAGAGAAGCCATTTAATCTCAGACTTTGTGGTAGGTGTTCTGCATGGATTTAAAAATATCTTTACAAAGTAGTTTTAAATGACAGTGTTTTTGCATATAATCCATCACTTCTAGTCTTGTCATTGAAATACCCAATAATTTTTGGTCATGAAATTCATTCTAGGTGGGTTGTGACTTGACTTGAAAAAGCTTTTCCAAACCTTAGCAAGAAAGCTTCTGTATGCACCAGGGTGAAACGTGCCTCCTCAGAGTTTCCTAAACCAAGCCCGCCAGCTGGGGAGAGCGCCCTTGAACAATACAGACTGGAAGTGAGAGTTCTTAATGTTTTCAGTACACATAGTGATGCCTTGTTTTTAAATTTTTTAATTTAAATTCAATTACTTAACGTACAGTGTACTACTAGTAGTTTCAGAGGTAGAGGTCAGTGATTCAGCAGTCTTCTGTAACACCCAGTGCTCATTACATCCCGTGCCCTCCTTAATGCCCATCACCCCATTACTCCGTCCCCCCACCCCCTCCCTGCCTCCTTTTTTTTTCCATAGGGAGCAAGCGCTAGTGATTAGGATAAATGTAATTGTTGCAAGCAATTATTTTGAGATTTTCAGCTCAGAAATAGAATATGAAACCCTGGTCTTTGGTCATGAGATTAGAGAGGGGTCAGAATCACAAGGAAAGCTTGTTTTTAAAGCTCAACCAAACAACCATGCAGATACCTGGGCTGTAGCCCTTCCCAACTGAATCAGAATCTCCAGGACAGAGCTAGGAAATAGGCGCTTACAAGAAAATCACCAGGTGATTAAGCATCTTGGAGTTTGAGAACCACCAAGAAAAATACCAGCGCTTCTCGGCAGCTACACAGCCATGTGTCTTAACAAGTCCTCTGGGAGGTGATTCTGATGCAGCCCTCGGGTGTCGGAACTGGCCTAGAGCGTCTCTAGCCGCGCAGCTCGGGCCGGCCCTACCCGTGCTTCCCGCCCGCCCCCTGTGCCTGGCTAGCGTTCCTGACAAACCGTGCCGTTGCCCTATTATAATGGGGGAGCAGCCGGTATTCCCTCATCTTTGAATTTCTGCCCCTGTCCTGCAGTGGGGAATGGAAGTATTGGCGGCACTCCACACTTTCTGCTCTGGCCTGGCCACACGGCCCTAACTTGTTCTCAGCCGCCACTTCGTTGCCCAGCCCCTGGAGTGACCTGTAGGCCCAGATGAAGAGACAACTGTGCTTGAAAAAAAGTAACGAGGTAATGAGTACCAAATATCAGACCATGGTCGTTCCCAAGTTTGCAGTGTGGGTGACACGCTATCCTTGACTTCGACTTCCACATACCACGGGGCAAGAAGCAACATGGGAAAGTGACTATCTAAATAGACTGGTTACAGTCTTGGGTTCCCCACTCTTGGAATAATAACTTGGACCTGGTACTCGGATGTAAAACCTTGAGCTCGAGTTTGAATACCTTTTCTCATATCGCAGGGGTTGTGGGGTATTTCCGTGATACCAAAGCACCAGGGCCAAGAGTTCTGAGAATCAGAGGCACCTCGTCAGTATGGAGGATTTGGCTGATACCTAGGAGGATAAATGGTTTTATTATGCCATCTCAATTAGTATGCTGAGTGAGAACTCTCAAATACATATAATTAAGTATAATTATGGTAATTAGAATATGGTTCAAAATTCTTGGTCTAAATAGGATAGACAACATCTTTTATATGCTGCTTTGCACAGAATAGGTAAGATGTTTAGGTTCTAACCTACTCCAATCGCAAACACTCTTTAAAGTGGTATATACTGCTGGGGAAAGATTTTGTAAATTCCTAATGTGTTTATTACGTTTTTACAAGAAGGCATTGTAGTAAGAGCCTTTTGTTTTTAAGCTGGGGGTTGTTTTTCTGCTAACGACTGCAGCACTCAGATTCATTCAAACCATTAGGTGCAAGAGATAAAAAGGAAGAGAAAGGACAGTCATTTTGCTCTTCTTTCCTCCTGGTGAGAAAAACAGCTGTAAGTTTTCATTGTCCATTTGAAGGCATAATGCTGAGGAGTTAATATGTTATCATTGGAGGGGCTCTTTCTTTGGATCTCCCTGTAGTGATTCCATTATGTGCTGTCTATTCTCAGGTTCTGGTTTTCGAAACTTCAGGAAGCCATGGCCTTGACAAGCCTGCACTCACTTTCTGGTCTCATCAGCTTCTAACCCAATAGCCACTCAGTAGAAAATTAATGGCTTTTGAGTTGGTTTCCTGCAAATCTTGGAATTGTTTGCTTCCTTCTCTTTGGTTTGAAGATCATTTTCAAAATCTGGAGTTAATCACAGTACAGCATAAACCACAATCTCTTCCTCATTAACTTTTTTTGCTGCCATGGTGGTCAGATCTTTGCTCAGCTCCATAAAATCCAGCAAAAATCTAGCTTTGTAACCAAGGAAAATAGAATTATTTCCATATTCACCCAAAGGCCTGGCAGTACTGAGTGAAAGAAACAGATCAGCCAGCCACCTTACTTCACTTACTTAAAAAATGTTCTTTTGCCCAGTTTTGAAATATAATAGACATGCTACATTGTATTAGTTTTAGATGGATAACATAATGATTTGATATATGCGCATATTGTGAAACGATTGCCACAGTAAGTTTAGTTAATATCTATCACCTCATATAGTTATAATTCTTTTCTTGTGATGAGAACGTTTAAGATTACTCTCGAGGTCGTTCACTTATTTTATACTCACCCCAACTTCCCTTTTCTCTTCTTTCTTACTTCGTTTCTCTCACTAATTAGTGGATCTGGCATATTCTCTTTAGAAACATGTATTTTTAAATGACATACACAAATAAATGTACACATACCAGAAACATACCTATCGAAGAATTTTTACAAAGTGAACACATCCATGTACCTAGCACCCAAAACAAGAAGGTCCTTTGTCCACCCCAGTCACAAGTCCCCACAAAAGTAACTTTCTCTTGTTTTCTAGGACCATATATTAATTTTGTCCTTTTTTGTTTTGGGTTTTGTTTTTTTTTGCTGTTTCTTGTTTGTTTTTGCTTCATATAGATGGAATCATACAATATATGCTCTTCCTCTGGCCTTTCCCATTCAGCATTATAACTGGAATTCATTCACATCGTTGCTTGTAGCTAAAGTTTGTTCTGTCTCTATAATACTTCATAGTGTGCGGAGACTGCAATTTTGTAATCCATTTTGCTGTTGACGGGCATTTGGCTATGACGCATCTGCTGCTGCAGACGTTCTTGGACACGTCGGTGAATATCCGTCCACATATCTGCTGGGTATATACCTAGGAATAAACCTGCCGGGTCATAGGGGAAGCTTATGTTCACCTTCAGTAGATTGCATCAAACTGACTTCCAAAGGAACTACCAGTTGACCTCCGCACCAGCAGCCTGCTGGGGTTGCATTTGCTCTACATCCTTGCCCCACCTGGTGTCATCAGTCTTTTTAATTTTGGTCCCTCTGATGGGTCTTAGCTTTAATTTGCATTTTCCCAATGATCATGAGCTCAAATACCTTTTCAGTATTAGCAATTTGTACATCATCTTCTGTGAAGTACCTGTTCAAGTAGTTTGCCTTTATTTTTTTCTGTTGGGATTGTCTTTTCTCTCTTTGATTTGTAGTTATATATTGGATACAAGATCTTTATCAGATATGTGTGTGGCATGTATCTCCGCACGGTCTACAGCGACCCTTTTACCAGTGTCTTTGGATGAACACACGCTCCATTTCAGTGTAGTCCAGTTTACCAGTTCTTTGCTTTATGGTTCATACTTTTTGTTTCCTGTTGAAGAAATATTTGTTACTCAAGGTTATGAAGGTATTTGTGGTTTCCTTTAGAAGCTTTATTGTTCTGCCTTTCATATTTAGCTCTTTAGTCTACTGGAATTGATTTTTTTTTTTTTTTGAATGATGTGAAGTAGGGAGTCAAGATTTTTTTTTTTTCCCATATAGATAGCCAGTGGACCTGGTACCTTTAATTAAAAAGGCCATCCTTGCCTCACTGCACTGTTTTTAGATTCTATATTAAATTATCTTTGTTTCAGTACTAAACCATGTTAATTATTACAGCTCTAGAACTTGTTGGCCTGGTCATGTAGAAGTGAAATTTGTAACTCAGAGGTCCTATACTCTTATGAAAGCAGGGAGTAATGCATTAAAACTAATAAATACACATGCGAGTATTTGGAGTAGTGATAGTTCATCAGAGTCCTGAAAATATGAACATAGCCCTTTTCTTCAGCCGCAGGGCTTTGGGCATGGGAGTTCTTAATGGGATCATGAGGGGAGAATATTAAATGTTTCCTTAAAGTAAGTCTAATTTTACATGCTGTTTTGGTTTTCCATTGATGCAATAGTTTCTTTCCATATTATTAATTATCCCTACTTTAAATTTTCCCTCTAATCTTCATAAAACTACTATTTTACAGAAGTGCATGTGAATATTTCCTTTTCCTTTTGTTTTCAGGTAAGACTTTTCCTCAGAT